CTGAATATAAATTCTGCCTACTTTTATGAAAAAACTGTGAACATTTTTTTGTATTTATTTACACTGAATTATTTCTCTTTTATCTTTCAAATTATAATCAAATGATATGGTCCTATTTTTTGCATACAGTAAAACTAGGTTATAGCAAAGTCCTGAGAACTTTTGCATATGCTTTGCTATAACCGTATTTCGTTATATCGGTATCATATGGCAATAATTTGAAAATATATATCGATATTAGAAAATTCGAAATATACATGTTTTTATTCTTACGATTATCGTAATAAGCTCATCGAAGTATTGGATGCAAACCATATAGTGAAGAAATAAAAAGTCTGTAGTGTAACCAAGAAATGTATAAATTCTTATGAAAAGAAAAAAGGTGAATAACGAACAGTGGTCAATCTGAAAAAAAATCTACAAACAATGCAATTCAGTGAACAGGGCATAAAACAGGGACCCCCAGAAATTCCGGGGTAGGATCAAGTACCCAGGATGAGTAAACACCCCCTGTTGGCCGGTCAAACCCACCATGAACCAGTATTACAGCGGTCCGGATTCCTTTTTTTTTTTTTTACAACTGGTTAAAAACTTCAAATTAAACATGTAACATTGTAAATACATAGTTTTTGGTAGTTTAGTAGTACTGCTAGTTGTTTTTTGTTTCTGTTTCCTTTGTTTTTATGACTTCTTAACTTTTCTCTTTGTCCTGATGAAGGGACAGGTCGTCCCGAATATTTGACAATTTTTATTGTTCGTGTCGTTGGTCATTTTCAGTGCTTTATATAAATTTCCTTCCGTGACCTTGTATCTACTTGGTAGATCCGACACTTAAGATATACAGTGTTATTGTTTTTTTAGTGCAGTGCCTTAAGTATTATGCTAAAGTATTCCACTTGAAAAAAATAGTTTCATCCGACACTGTTTGACAGAACGTTGTGTTTTGAGTCAGCACCATCAACTTCTAATATGGAGGAGAGATTTTTTTTTAAAAGAAATTAAGTTTCGTGAAAGCAAAAAATTAAACTCAAATGGTTATAATGGAGGGGATATGAATTCAATAATTCCATTCATCTGAGTCTTTGGGAAGTTTTAAGCGGAGTATCCCACGAGAAATTTGCATAAAGTTTAATACTAATGATCTGGTATTTTTTGTTTGTTTGTATGTTGTTTAACGTCCCTCTCGAGAATTTTTCACTCATATGGAGACGCCACAACTTGCCGGTGGACAGCTGCAAATTTTGTCCTATACTCGGCACTTACGGCCATTGAGCAGTAAGGGATCTTTTTCGTGCCAGCACCTACTGCGACACGGGACCTCGGTTTATACGGTCTCATCCGAAGAACAGGTCTCCACGTCCCACAGTGGGATTCGAACCCGCGACGTAAGGATCAACTCCTTTCTTCTCAACTACAGAGCACACACTTTAACGACTGTGCCACGCAGGCGACATGATCAGGTGTTAAAGAAATGGATAAAACGCCGTGAATATTCTAAACTATGCAAAGGACAAGACAGGTTAAGACCCCTTTTTTGGCCCCTGGTTTTGGGCGTCTTTTAAAATGATGCAACAGGTTTATCAATGAAACCTGTTTTCACCCCTACCATAAAATGAGTATTGGTTCTAAGTTATGGGATACACAGAGGTCACAGGAAGATCAGAAAATATGTCAATTTCCGAATTTTCTCATGTTTATGCAAATTTTCATCGATTTTACAGCACAGTTTGTTTCAGAAATCATAGAGCACAAGCTTGCCCATCTACCAAATTTATATATTTCATACACTAGTATCAGATTCATCTTGTGTATAAAAATCTCAGATAGGCAAGCTTGTGCTCTATGTTTCCCGAAGTGAAAAGTATCTTAAATTTGACGAAATTCCACCAGAATTGAGGAAATTCGGGAAAATGTCTTACTTTTGCACCCTCTCGTGGCCTCCACATAAGCTTTGAATCAAAATTAGTACTGGTTTTAAAACAAGCATCATTTTAAGTTCTTTATAACAAACTATCACAGTTTTAACTGTGTTCCGCTTTTTACATCAAATAAGGGGCCAAATTCAGCCATTACCATACCCTGTCCTTTATAAGTATTATTTGAAAATTCCCTGTTCCTGGAACAAAAAGCACAACTATTTTGTAAATGAACATCACAACTGTAAAAGTAGCTAAATCAATCCTTTTTCTCATCCCTGTTAATTCCACATAAATTTATTTTGATGCAACGTGAAAATGACTTTGTTATACGATGGTCGTCCACGTGGTGCATTGGTTAGAGCGTCTGCCCTAGACTCGCTGAGTAAGGGGTTGATCTTTACGACGCGGGTTCGAATCCCACTATGGGACGTGGAGACTGGTCCATCGGATGAGACCGTTTAAACCATGGTTCCGTGTCGCAGTAGGCTGGCACGAAAAAGAAATAGGGCTCAACGGCCCTGAGTGTCGAGCATAGGTCAAAAATTTGCAGCCCTCCACCGGCAACTGGTGGCGTCTCCATATGAGTGAAAATTCTCGAGAGGGACGTTAAACAACAACAACACACACAAATAGACAAACATATCTCGATGTCATTCTTTTACTAATGAAATGTTACTTTTTTTTAAATAGTGGTATGTGTAAATAATAGGGGTCCAGACTGAGTTCATACAATATGAAATCAGTCCGCATTCTAGAGATAGTGTAGAGTTTTTTACGACTGTACACTAGATAACTATGCTGTGGTAATTTAGAGCATAAGTCGATGATTTAGAGACTGTTTTCCATCTTCAGTAAGCCTAATCATATCTGCATTAAAAAAATTCTATGTAATTACCATATCGTAATTAGTGAAAAAGAGTTACATACTTGGACATTATCTGTTGATCACATCTGTTGATCACATTCATCAGGATAAAATCATGACGATGCATCCACAGCAGAAAAGAAGTACCGAGTGAGATGTCCAAGAAGTGGTGATTTTCATTAGTCCCTTACCAGTGAAACCGGAGGCTTACTCCTCTTCTGTCCGTCTGTCTATCCGTCTCTCTGTTTGTCCCACTTGGTTTTCCGCATTTTTTCTCTAACATAGATATTAAGCTGATTTTTGGTATGTGAGTGTATCTTGATGAGTTACAGATCAAAATTGCATTTCGTTTCGCTTCAGTGATTTTTAACGGAATTATGGCCTTTTAAATTTTTAAGGGTTTTCCGCAGGTTTTTCCCGAAACACTTGCAGATTTTGAGCTAATTTTTGGCATGTGAGTTAACTTTGATGAATTATAAATCAAGTTTGCATTTGTTCCACTTCAAAGATTATTTGATGGAATTATGGCATTTTCAATTTTTATTGGGAACCAGATTACATTTGACGCTAGCGGACTAGTTTTGCCTAATATGCAATACTCTCAGAATGTTTGTTTATGCCATCTGTATACAAATAATTAATCATATTAATTATCTACTATTATTTATGATGAAACACATGACCAGTCTGAGAGTCAGTCAGCTTTATAATATAAAGCACGTTCCCTAATTACCTCAACATTTATTTGCAATGAACTACAAAGTCTTTTACAGTGAAAATAATTGGCACTTGCTCAAAAGTCACCAAGGGGTTGAAATATACGGTAGCTCGACGTCCGGGGCTAGTCCTTTTAAGACTCGGGCTTGCTAATTAAATGTAACGATAGTCCGCTCGGACTAGCAGACCGGAAAATTTTTTCGTCAGTTTACGTTTGTTTTTTATGAAGACTAGTTGACTGAGAACTAGATTAATTTGCTTCTATCACCAAAGCGTTTGAAAGCAAGCGAATATATATGCATGATATTGCATTTTAATTACATTGATCAAAGATTGATAAAAGACGAGTGTTTGCATTTGTTACCAATAGTCCTGACTGGAATAAGAGATAAAATAAAGATATCGTCAGTAGTGAAACAGTTACAGATAGCAGAAATAAAGATGAAAAGTTTGATCACATGAAAAGAAAAAGATAGTCAAACTTCTACTTGTGTTACGTTTTTATTGTGCATAAAATTGTAAGGCTAGTAAGGTTGATGCTTGGTTAGTAATATTTTACTGATACGTACTGTACCCGCTAGGCTAATGAGATTTCCAGGAAAATTTCAACCCCTTATTTCTAGAGAATCTTGTTATCTATAATTCTTAAAAGTACAAACATGCTAGTATTATTATATAGATGGGTTTACACGAAAAAAAAAATGTTTGATAAAAGTGTGCAATAATTTGAGAAGAAAAGTTATTTGATGGGGGCATAACCTTATTTTGTTTCCCAAGTGAAGTTTCTACTCTGTTTCTTCTTCTTCTACGCCTTTTTTTTCATTTCTTCTTCGGTACTTTTTTGTCCGCGAGTGTCCTAGGAAACTGCTCATCCATCTGAGTTGAAACCTTAATAGGCATGCTATGTAGATGAATCGTCGAAGGTCATTCTGCTCGCACATGCATGCACTTGCGGGTGGATACAATGAGTTAAATGACTCATATACTTAATAAAGCTGTAACTTTTATATTTTTGATGAAATGCTTTGAAACGCAAAACATAAATATATATTAGAAGTGTAGACAAGATGTCAAATTAGCATGAAATATTGCTCATGCACATGCGCTTCACTCTGATTGGCTATTCTCACTACATGTATCTTCCTTGTCTTTTGATAAAATACTGTAAAATTTAAGATATTGGTATAGTTTATAAGGTTCTACGATATGGTAACGTTATATACAGAAATTCTTGAAAACAGGTGCATGCACGTGTTTGGATAGAACTTCTTGAATGTTCAACAAAATAAGATGAAAGTTATAATATAAAAAGTTCCACCCACCCAATGTATTTCTTTACAAAACATGTAGAGGAAATATAAATTATCTTTTAGGGCAATAAGGGTGTAACACTTATTTTTCAGATGTCTTTTTCATACAGTCCTTATGAATATAAATAATGTATTTTGAGATTGTGATTTTTTATGTGATTTTAAATGTACACTCCAGGATGGTGGCTGAAGCTCATCTCCTATGTAAACACCTAAATGCCAAGTCTGGACTTCAAAAACAAATTCTGAAAGTTTAACCAGCATTATGGTAAAACTCTTAAAAAAGAAATCAAATTTTCTGATCCCATTGCTTTTAGACTTGCAATTTAATACATATAATATCATGTAATGATGTGCATTACATTTCAATCACAAGAGGAGAAAATGTTGAATGTTATCGGTAAAATAAGTAATTTTTCATATTGTTTGTTTTGCTTTACAAGTCTGAAATGCAATTTTTTTTAAACATATATTTTCTTTTTTACCCCAAGGACAAAAAGTATACACTTCGAACAGACACAAAAACATATAGGTCCATGCCAAGCTATGAAAGATTTATGCTGAGGGTAAGTTCTATTATTATATAGAATTTAATTGTCAGACATATGGTTATGTCTAAAATTTTACTGTTGTATTTATATCAGTGATAAGCAATATTTTGCACCTGAGCTGACTTACATGTAATCACAAAAAAATGTTATAACTAATTAGATAACCTGAGTCAGTCATGACCTATTGCTATCTGTTTTTAGCTCACCTGAGCTGAAAGCTCAGGTGAGCTTTTGCTGATCACATTTTGTCTGTAGTCTGTCTGTCTGTCTGTCTGTCTAGCTGTCCGTCTGTCTGTAAACTTTCACATTTTCGACTTCTTCTCCAGAACCACTGGCCTATTTCAACCAAACTTGCCACAAACCATCCTTGGGTAAAGGGGATTCAAGTTTGTTCAAATAAAGGGCCACACCCTCAATAAAAGGGAGATAATTAAGAAATAGTGAAAATTTAGTGGGATGTTTTAAAAATCTTCTTCTCAAGAACCACTGGGCCAAAAAAGTTGAAACTTATAGGAAACCTTGTATGTCAAAGTGTAAATTCAAATTTGTTTGAATCATGAGCCCTGGGTTTGGTTGGGGCCACAATGGGGGATCAAAGTGTTACATAGGAATATATAAGAAAAAATCTTAAAAAATCTTCTTCTCAAGAACAGCAAAGCCTTGTTTAGTCATATTGATAAGGAAGCATCATCAAGTAGTGTAGATTCAAGTTTGTTCAAATCATGAACCCCCAGGGGTAGGGAGGGGCCACAATGGGGGATCACTATTTTACATAGGAATACATAGGAAAAAAACTTTAAAATTCTTCTTCTCAAGAATAGCAAAGCCATGAATAGTCATTTTGAAATGGAAGCATCCTCAGGCTGTGTAGATTCAAGTTTGTTTAAATCATGATCCTCTGGGGATAGGATTGGACCATAATGGGAGATCAAAGTTTTACATAGAATATATAGGAAAAAATCTTCTTCTAAAGAACAGAAAAGCCATGATTAATCATGTTTATATGAAAGCATCATCAGGTAGTGTAGATTCAATTTTGTTCAAATCATGAACTCTGGGGTAGGGAGAGGCCACAATTGGGGATCAAGTTTTTACAAAGGCATATGTAGGGAAAAATCTTTAAAAAATTTCTGCTCAAGAACAACAAAACCATATGTTATATTAATATTTCTTATGGCCTGCAGGTGTGTCATCACCTTGACCCAAGGTCATTTGGGCAAGTTCAAGGTCACTGACAGAAAAAAATCATAATTCGTGTTTACACAAAGATTGCTTATGACCTGAAGGTGTGTCATGACCTGACCCAAGGTCATTTGGACAAGTTCAAGGTCACTGACAGAAAAAGTTCATAATTCGTGTTCGGTCTGTATCTTTCCTATGGAGGATAATTTTGGATGTTGGGAGTATCCACTTCACACAAAGATTGTTTATGACCTGAGGGTGTGTCATGATCCTGACCTATAGTCACATACTGTAGAAAAAATGGATAAATAATGCATCCATACTTTCCAACAGAGAAATACTTCAAAAATTGTTATTAATTTTTCAATGTAATAAAAAACAATATTATTATTAGTATTGCTGTTTTACCAGGCTATGCCAAAGTTTCATTCATTAAAAAAATATAATGAGCAATTACTGGTAAATTTTCTCTCTAAATGTATAAACAATTTTTGAAGACCTTTTAGATCCTAAAATACTACTACTAGTATTCGTGACTTGGCATCTTCTCTGAAAAACCCAGTGGGGGGTATTTGTCCATATTGGACAGTTCTAGTTTAGTTCTAAAGGAAGTCAACCAGGAGTTATATGTAGAAAATAATAATGTTCTGAAAAAAAAGTATGTGTTTTTCCATATGCAAATTCATTTAATATTTTCTTTTTCTTTACAGATGAAAGGGAATTGCAGAAGAATGAATTGATGTTAACATCTCAACATTAAAATTGGCTTAAATTTGAATATGTCTTTTGTTGTGATTGCCTAAAGAGCAATTAGGATCAGGAAATTTGAGGTGAAGGATATCCAGATATGTACCTTCAAAATGTGGATCATTCAACAGATGAAAAGAAAATAAGCCCCTGAAGAAAATTATGTCAAATGCATGAAATGAATATTTCAATTGCACATCATTTTTGTTTCACGTATGTTTACAATATATATGTGAAAAAGAATGTTCGGTGGTCAAAACATATGTTTACCCATGGTTTGGCACATGTATGGTACTTATACATTTATCATATGAGCAGTGCATTTAACAAAAATGTTAAATGCATGTTTCTAAAAACATACGTTACACACACGTTGAATGTACGTTATTCATACGTGAACCATATGAATAACGTACATGTGCAACGTGTGTAACGTATGGTAGTCAATACGTATGTTTAACGTACGTGTCACGCATGATATTCATACGTGTGAAAACGTACGTTTAACATACGTGGTGCTTTTTTCATGTGATACGTACGTGAAGTCACGTACGTATCACATACGTTTAACGTACGTGATACGTAAGTGGCACATTTTGCTGTGTAGATACATGTATATTTCATGGGTTCCTACATCATCATGGGTTGCTACTATCAAAATTGAAGAAAATGACATGCATGCACGTTTGCTGAAATCTGATTTACTAATACTTTGTAGGCTGTATCTCGCTTAATATTTAATATACATGTAATTCTTTGAATATAAGACATTGGTATATATTATAAGGCACTATAAGAGTATACATGTGAGAAATCTAGAAAATACGCTCAAGTACGTGTGCTGAAATCTGGTTGGCTAAGGTTGTTGGTACTTAGAACTTGTCAACGAAAGAAGAAGAAATTCAGAGTATTTGCAAATAATACAGGTTCCTACATCATTCAATCATCAGAAATAAATACAAGAATGTGCATGCACGTGTGCTGATTTCTTATCAATTAATATTCATGCTGCTGTAACTTTCTACGTTTTCAGTGAAATTCTTCGAAATCCAAAATGGAGATCTTTAATATGGCATTTTATGTGATGAAGAACATGTATATGTATATGGTAAATTTAGAAATCATGTGCATGCACATGTATTCACAATGTAAATCTGATTTGCTTATAAATATCCTATGATTCAGGATAATCAAGGTAAAAAAGTATAAAGAACAAATTGTTTGGACTGCCAACTCCGATATATCCCTGGTATTCGGGATATCAGTGTTTTTAATAACAAAGTTCAACTGTAGTTCTAATTTTCCATGTTATGTTGATAGGTTAATACTCCAATTAAGCCAACAAATATTTTCGTGGTAACTCATTCTACGTATAAATTTATGTGAAATATTCTATTGTTTCATCACCATATAATGTTGTTAGTGGTGATAACGCCAAAACGCGTACTTAGTAGACCACTTCAATTTTTGAAGCAGCAAATACTTGTTTTAAGTTTGAGCTATATATTTTAATGATAGACAACAATGTGGTTGTTTATCAATATCGCATTTTCCTTTTCGGTTGCATAGTACTTTAGGAATGACTCTAATTCTTGGCCAAATTATTCGAGTATAACCTGGTTTGGGTCAGTTTACGCTTTATAATCCGCGAAGCGGATTATAAAACAGCGTTTAACTGACCCAAACCAGGTTATACTCGAATAATTTGGCCAAGAATTAGAGTCATTCCTTATAATTTAATTTTAAAATCATTAAATAACTATGGGTGTAAAATTTCGTTGCGTTTTATTAGTTCAAATTTGCCGCTCAATAATACAACCGTAGTAACGGAAGTAACGGAAGTGATGGGAAGCGAGGGGAGGTAAAAACTGATACATAGGCCTAGCAGCTTGTTTACATGTGGTAAGATCGAATTATTGTTTGAAGTTAAAGGTATATTTATTAAATCTGGAATTTTCCATGAATCCCGAGGACTGGAAATGAGAGGATTGTATGCATACAGATGATTCAGCTGGTTGTCAGGGGGGTGTGTCCCCATACCAAACCAGGTTATACAGAAATAATTTGTGTTCCTTTTTGGATATTAACCAATCAGAGACTAGAATACAAACAAAATTAAATTATATGTATTTAGTACGGTCTTTCAAGTATAAATAACGGTATTTATGATTTTTTTTTTATTATAATATGTTTGTTAATGTGTGATTACTCAATTTACATTCTAAACTTGTATTATGGCACTTGTTCAGATCGAAAGCTTGTAATCTATAATACCTGGAAGCATAGTGAATATGAGTAGAGGAAAAATTCTTGGATTATATGTGAAACTGTAAAAAGTTTTGGAAAGGTTTTATGCAACAGTATTAAAAACTTACTTCTGTGACAGGACAGTAGGATTCTAGTAGCACTTTTTATGGCCCATTGATGCCGTTACATGATTATTTTACCTACCTAACTGAATTATTTCTGGGATATTGGTGAACTTTTCACTTTTTCACAAAAGACATATTTTACCAATAAAAGATGTCTTTCAAGAGCGCTTCTTTAAGTCTTTAATACTAACTTTGACTACATAGTAGAGGTTAAGACATATTCATGCATTAAGTTCTCTGGTACAATATCTCCGAGGGAAAGAAGATATTTTTATTTTTTTAATTTTTTTTTTATCAAATTTGTAAATTCTCTTATACAGCTTTTCACTTTTTAGTCAAAAAGTAAATACATGTATATAAGATTTTAACAATAAAAAGTTACATTGTTATTAGTTTTATAATACTGTTTCAATAAAATAAACAGAATCCTTTAAGTAGAAAACTATTGTAGTTAAAAAAAGTTATATATCAATGCCAATCAAAGCTTTTTATGTTATATGTAGAAAAAAAAAGAAAAAAGAAAAAGAAAAAAAAACACACACACACACACACACATTATGCAATCTTCCTAAACTTTAAGTAGCAGGAAAGTTTTTAAGAAGAATGAGACAGAGAAAACGTTGACTTTCTACAAAGGACTTTAGTTCCTATTCCGAGAAATATCTGTATCAACACAAAACAATTGGTGTCTGTCTCGTGATTTGATAGGCAACAGATGTAAACAATGGACAATATACAATTCTGAATTAAGAATCCTTGAACATTAGTTGTTTTCAAGAACGGAAATTTGAATAGTCTTAGGGCTGCACGGATTCTTATTGCATTGCACTCGGAGTGTGAAGAAAAAGTTTCTAGCAATGAATACTGTAAATATTCCTGTTGCATTATGTAGTCTACGTAGTCTCGATGATTTTGCAAATCATCTCAACTGGTGGGCTCTTTACACCCAAGTGCTGCCACTTTTGGTTTTTGTGAAATACCTATACTAAAGTTTTTGTTAAATGCTCTATAGATACTCATAATGTGATGCAATTCTGTGGATATGGAGCATTTATTTCTGTTCCTGTATTTTGAGTATTATTCTTCTTGTACTTTGTGCATGAAACGTTATCTTATTCCAATGAAATATATAAAGACAACGAACAGTATTCAGGCTCAAAAGTCCATCAAACAATACAAAATAGGAGCAGAGCAAACACGGACCTCCAAACATCAGAGGTGGGATCAGGTGCCATGGAGGAGTGAGAATCCCCTGCCGAACAAATGATAAATTACATTGACAAACCCCCTTTTGATATACCCTATATTTACATTGTGCAATCCATTTTGATATAACATAATTGTAATTTACATATTTACATTTTGAAACCCATTTTGATATAGTGGAAGTGTGATTTTCCAAAGTTTTTGAATGTATTTACGATATGAATTGATCAGAATATTATCATATTATGAATATTTTGATCAATAAACTTTTTTCAACACACATCTGAGTTTGTCTAATTTTGATTTTTAGGTTTGGAATGAGGAGGCATAAATATATGTGTCTCCGTTATTCAGAACATCCTTTAACACAATGATCGTAACATATGTACAAGCGAAGACCGAAACAATGCTCGAGCGTGAGCAGACCTTGGACCCATGATCGTTTGTGTTTTATCATTTGGTGCTGTCACTGATTGAGAAGATCACAGTTATTCTATTCACGAAAGCAAATCAATTAAAACACTGATGCATTTTCTCCATGTTGGATATTACGAATGAAGAAAATCAATATCAAACCTGAAAAGGAGAAAAATTTTTAATCAAAATGTCTATAGAGATGGTTTATTGCATTTTAAACCTAATCATTTAAGAAGGTAACCAGTTCTAGGGGAAAACATATCTTCTAAATCTTGATATTCACTACACAGCCTTTATCAGAAACATATCGGCTGACGTTTTGATCGCAATAAACGAATAATCACCATGCTTACAATGAAAAATAAAAACCCAAACACATGTCTTTTTCTTTTCAATGTTAAGCTGATTGTTAAACTCTCCAATTTAGCCATCACATGTTTACATAAAACCATAACAAGTAACTCATTCTACGCATATATTTATATCAAATATTCTTTTATTAGAATATCTTCACCATATATTTTGTTAGTAGCGATATCGCAAAAATGCACATACTTAGTCGACAACTTGTTCTTGAGGCACCAATTACATTTATAAGTAGGAGCCATTCATTTCAATGATTGACGACAATGTTGTCGTTCAGCAATATCACGTATTTCTTTTCGGTTGCATAGAATTTTACGGTCTTTCGAGAGTAAATATCGGTATTCATGAAAATTCTGTGTTATGTTCGTTTAATGTATGGTTACTCAATTTACATAATAGATTAATTACAATTTCTTTGCTTTACGTATGTACAATTTCTAAAAAGAGGTAAATTATTGACAAACAAGTTGATGAAACAAGAAAATCAGCTGTCTCGTTTAAAGTCATCATTTCGTAAGTTCTATGGTCAATACAATGACCTTGTCAGCAAATACAATTTATCATTGAGTCAAAAGCTGACTGACGTTTTGCATACTTATTGTTATGGCCATTATTTACACACTGAATTGTCGACGGATTTTTCCGTTATTTCCCGATCATGACAAGGAGCACACGGCGGGTGTGACCGGTCGGCAGGGGATGCTCACTCCTCCATGGCACCTGATCCCACCTCTGATGTTTTGGAGGTCCGTGTTTGCTCTGCACCTATTCTGTAATGTTTAATGGACTTCTGAGCTTGAATACTGTTCGTTATCTCCATATATTTCATTGCAAAGTTAGTTTTGATACACATTTATGAAATTTGAACTTTATTTAAATAGACACAGATATATAAAAGTTTAGGTTGATGTACATCTTGCTGCTAAACAATAAAACTTTATCTAAAATGGCCGTTGAAAAGTTTTGTGGAATTTCTTTATTCTAAATCCGTATTATTATTTTTATGAAACGGTTAAACATGACTTCAGTAATTCTTATTCTCAATGTTATGATGATGGTGTTACTCTATAAACAGTCAAATGTTTCAGTTGAAACATTACAAGTATCAGAAGACAATTGCCCGACTTAGACCACTCCAGTTATGTGTTTCATCGTCAACAAAAGAGTTGATAGCTCGAAATGTGATTTTCAGAAAAATATTATGCTCCATTATGTGTTCGGAAATAATATGGAAGTGCTGGGTGGGAAAGAAAAGCATTATATTTACAATCATTCATATATTCACCCACTTATTATATAAGGACATATCATATTTCTGTATTTTGATGTGTATTCTTTAAACATAAAATCTTTTGTTGAATGAAAGCAATATTGATAAAAACAACAGCAAAAACCAAACACACACACTCACACACACACACACACACACACACACACACACACACAGAGAGAGAGAGAGAGAGAGAGAGAGAGAGAGAGAGAGAGAGAGAGAGAGAGAGAGAGAGAGAGGGTTACAAAAATTCTGCAAAGGTTGTTTCTACAAAGAAAGCTCTCCTAATTCCTCCAGTCAAAAACGTTAAAGTCATTATACAGGATATCATTGAAATGGAATCAAAAATCCAGAAAAGCTATTTCCAGAATATCGAATTCGTATTGCGTTTGAATAAATATACATTTGTTGTGACTTCAAGCACACAACATCATTCTTTTGCAGTGAAATAATGGCCATGTTAGCACCAGTGTAATATCTTGTGACGGTGTCTGGAGCATGACGTACCCCAGCTATTGCCTCTAATACGTATTTGTCATTCACAGTCAATAAGACGTGAAGCACGTCTCCTCTTTGTACTTCTACAGAAATGAAAAATGCGTATTTTCCATCCACGGGTGCTGTAAATGTTCCTGTTGTGGAGTTATACCCGTCTCCAATATTAAGCAGAACGTTTTTTAGAATAATTATCTGTCCGCTTCTTGTTATTTTTTCGTCAATATCGTCCTTAGCAGTCACGGAAAAACCCACAAGGTGTTTATTTTCTGAAAGCAAATATTAAATCACATATAAATACATACATAATTAAATCATGTGCCGAAAACGAAATGAATACATGTAAATAAAAATGATAAAAATATTACACAATAAATTGATATAAAGATATAGTACATAACATGGGTTCTAACGTTGACACAAGTAATCTTCTTCACTTGACAAATAAACTTGTAAGAGAAAGTGTTGAGATTCTAATCAAGATAACATTTTCACCGCTATAGGTCTGGTATGAATATAAGATATTTACATTTGACATCAAATTTACAGATCGTTTTTTTTTTTTGGATAAAGACATAGAAATAATGATTTATCTTTGGAATGTCTTTATACCTACTCGATTTTACCACGGTTTTGCACACAGTTTGCAAATTGTTTATTCAGTATAAGAATGGTAGCATATTAACGTAAATAAATGTAGTGCATATATTCCCGAGAAGAAGATGCGTATCCTACATAGAAGTTTGCTCCCTATTGTATAATCTCTCCTGACCAGAGGTTTGTGATTTGAAAAAAAAAAAATAAAATAGTCTTATAGAATTATATCACTTATGACCTCGTAAGACTAAATTTTCATACATTTTCATAGTTTTCTAGCTCGTTGGTTCTTGAAAAGATTTTGATTAATCAACTAATCAATTTTAGCCATTACTGAGTTTTGTCATTAAATTTGAGATAGCTCTTTACTTGAAAAAACTATATTGTCCTTTCCTGTGTTTGCCTTATGGCATTTTTAGAAAAATGAACGAGGGACAAGCTTAGTTCTGTAAATAGCACCCAGACCTTCTTATGGTGCATATTAATATCATGTAGAAATGGTCGTCGATGACGATATCAACCTATCCTAACTGCATATATTGCCATCCATCGGCATATATTGTGACCCAGGTTTCTCCATGGGCCGTTTAACCTTGGGCCCCACCATAGTTAAATTCTTTAGCGTAACTATACATGATAAGAAGAAACCAAAGAAAGCTAATATGGAAGGGAAATTTCACAATTGTTAATGCGAATTAACGGTAAAGTTTTCACTATATAGAGAGAATGAACTTGTTTGTTACAATAAGGATATTTGGTCTAGTTAACGTTCAACCAGCTGATGAGAAGTTCTGAGCCATCACACAGTCAATACCCAAGACAAATCTAAGACTCTAGTGACATTGACAGTGAAGTAACCGCCATATTGGACAGTTCAGAAACTGACCAAAAAACGGCATTTGAACCATTCATCAGTAATACAATCCACTCCATTAAAAAATTTGGCCAAGCTCTTAAGCGCAAAATAACACGTAAAGAAAAGGTACGTCAGCACAGCAAAACTATTGAAATGGAATTTATTGAAATCCACAACATCTTATCAATAGTTGATAACGCTCTCAAATCATTCGCTGAAAAGCTCTGTTAACTGATATCAGTCAAAGGTCAAATTTCACAAACCATAATTGTCCCTGTCACTTTTTGTGGACCATCTGAACACGCACAAGAAAAAGCTTCATGAACAATTAGACCATTGACTCCAAAGTCAAACACTGCAACTCTGCAATTGATTCGTTATATGTGAAGACCAATGTCCTGGATAATCAAATAAAATTATAGGATCACAAGAAGGGCACACTGTGTCACTCGAAACTCTCCAGTTGCAGATCACAAACCTGCAGGACCGTATTGAACAACTTGAAATGACAAAAACGTCTTGGCTTGCCTCTTACCATAATGCAAACCATCTCAGAGAACAGTTAGTTCCCAGGGTAAACACAAGTCCGACACTACCTTATTATATATATAATCTACAACCACAACCATCGTATCCTACCAACTACGGTAAATCCACTGTAAATCCCTCACTTGGGGATAATACATTGTCTGACCCACCAGACAAAAATTTACCTAGAACAGACGAAGCTTCGAACATCATCATCCTAAGTAATTCCATATTTAAAAAAAAAATCACCCAAACAATTCACGCCAGAAGAGAAAAATGTAATACTCTTCATAAGAGGAGGAGCAATATTGTGCTCAGATTTCGGTCGAGAAGCACAGTAACAAATTCAATCCCAAATCAGTGTTGATTCACATTGAAACTAGGGATCTCCCTGACGATAATGTGAAAAAAGAGGATTTCAATCATTTTTAGAATTGTGCACAACATAATGAATTTTAGAATGTCTAAAATATTTTTGCTTCTAATCATTCATATACAGAAAAGATATTGAAAACATTATGGTGGATCGTGCGAATACCGAAATTCATGCAGCTAGTTGTCTCTACCCCAGTGTGATAATGGTAGACCCATTTAACCCACGGAGCGAAATGCTTCATACTTTTGTTTAATATCCTAAAACAAGCTTTCATTTTAACTATTGAAGAGAATTTTAACTTTTTTTTTTTTTACTGGGAATTAACTTCCGTAACGATTAACTTCCGTAACGATATTTTTCCCGAAAATTTAATTTAAAATCGGATTCATGCGAGACTTCATGAATCATACTTCAGCGTTCTTTACTGAACATCAGAAACGAAAAATTGGTCAAATTCAGCTTTATTTAAAAAATAATAAGGCTTGATCAAGCATTAACTTCCTTAACATTACCTTATAATCAATAGCATCTTGAAATTGCTTTAAAAAGTTAACGATACCAGATTTGTGGACAATTCTTTGTTTTCAAGTTCACTGATATGTCCTTTAGAGAATTATGATGTTCATTTTGCTATTTGAAACAATTATTTTTTTCATGTTTTATACTCTGAATTGGTCCATTTATCGTAGAATGACTGGAAACGACGACGTATATTAGCATTTCGCGTATGTCTTGCTCCACAGTTAAATGTGAAATGATGGAGAATCCTATTGACAGACTGAAAAAAAGTGTAAATATTATTCCCGGCGATATCATGTTATCTACATTCACTGCAAAATATAGAAGAACAGCAAGTTTAAATCATATCCAGTGCACTTACGTTGCTTTTCTAGCTGTAATCTTTTCATTCGATCTTCCAAATCTGTCAATCTTCTTTCATGTTCATACCATTTTTCATTGGAATTGTATATCATTTGACTTTCCACCTGAGCTGTACACATAAAAATTAAAATAACAACAAAGAAAAGACACAAACACCAGCGATAAAATATTTCAAACATGTTTCCGCGCAATTGATAATGAACGTTTTACATGCGATTTAGACAGCTGTTGAAATTATATCACTCTGTCAAACAAAGAACCAGTGTCTTATTCATTGTTGCGTCACATCCTGAGATGTATGTATTAAAAATATACATAACTAAACCACTTTCGTGGATGGATGGCAAAGAGGTATAGCGCACTTAATGTATCAGATGTCCTACAATATAGCGCATTTACAAACATCCAAAATATTTCTTTATCTTATAATATTAAGTAAATCTAACTATAAAAAATTCCAATTTTTCATTATAATTGTATATCATTTGACTTTCCTCCTGAGCTGTACACATAAAAATTAGAATAACAACAAAGAAAAAACACAAACACCAGCGATAAAACAAATCAAAAATATTATAAAATTATAAAGAATATTTGATTTAATTATATTGATATATTCAAATGTGCAGATTAACGAGTTCTGAAGTTATTAAAGAGAAATAGCTCGTTTAAAGTGTTTCTCGTGAATTTATAGCCCGAATCAGAGCATAAGTTTACGGGTAAATCTTTTAAATGATATATATGTAGAAGTAGTTCCGAATATTTATTTCATAAAGTTTGTTTCTTAAACCAATGTATATCTATTTATAGTAACAGGTACTTTAAATTTAAACCTGGTAGGGAAAGGGCGCTGTACCTCTTTTAATTTCGTAAATAAAGTGAAAGAGGAATGTTAGTAAACTAAAGTTGGGAGTCATAAACTTTTATAATGAATATTGACTTACACATGGGGGCTCTAAACATAAAATAACATGTTCTCCCTTTCATTTCTTGACCAACCCAGAGAAGAAACGGAAAACATCTTATCCTGTCTTATCCTGAAAAGTAGAGACAAAGAAGGGTGATTAGTTTCATAAATCTTGTAAACATTCCAAAACGTGAACAGGGTAAAATCATGGGGCCCTAGAAACATCGACGTTGAGCTACTAGGATGAGCAAACAACCCCTGAGGACCGGTCGCATCCGTATTCTATATTGAGGAGATGAACGGGGTATTCCGTAGTCAAATTAGTATTTACAAAAATTGTAGCCTAAAAATTGGTAGGAAGCATGTTTGTCAAAATATTTTAGAAAATGTATTTATATATTTAGAAATTCAAAAACCAAATTTAGACACTGCCGGTTAAAAAACAAGTAATGACCCCCCATAGAACAATGACCGGGGTCATTTTTTAACGACAAAAAGATGACCCCCAGCGGTAAAAAAAAAAAATATTTTTTTGTAGAAAAAGTGTCCAAGGGGTCATTTCTTATATATATGTCCTATAAAACATTTTGCTTTGATTAATATCCGCCTCAGGTTTGGTGCTTGTCTTCTGCTTTTAATAACTGACGATTTGTCCAGAAGATTTTTTCATGTTTTGGAAGAGAGCAATCTCCTTAAATTTCATTTATGCAAGAGAGGCTACAAAGCTTACACTATATACAAACCACTATTGATGAGATGGAAGACACGACAGACGAAACCTTTTACAAAGAGAAAGACAATAGCAGCAGAGTTCCAATGGTAATCACATACCATCCTGTCCTTAAAAACCTCAACGAAATTCTTTAAAAAAACCCTCCCAAATTCTTTATTCTAACAAAGACTGGTAGAGGTCTTTAAGCAAGGAACTTGAAGGATATGGTAGAAAGAACCAGATTGGGTACCCCATTACCTAACGGGGGTTTTAAAACTCGTTCTGGCAGCAGATATCTTCTCTGTAAGCAGAGCTCTGACACAGGCATTTTAATTACCCGGTTACAGGCTACAACTACAGAATATTAGGGAACTTGTCCTGTCAAACAAACAACTGCATATATCTCATCAGCTGCAAGATTTGTCAAAAACAGTATGTGGGGGAAACAGATCTCCTCAGAAGAATAAAAGAAAATTGCCAGCTTAAATGAATGAAATCAATATACGCATACAAGTTGTTCCAAAAAAATTGACCCTGAATCTGACTGTCTGAAACTGTAGGTACAGTCTAGAAATTTTATTAAAGAACGCAGCTGTGTAAGTGGGCTTACTGCTAATAAATTATACCACTGTGTACCTGCACTTTCTAAAGACAGTTCGAATATATTCTTGTTATTCTGTTCCGTCTGTCACACTATTTTCTTCCAAAAACTCTTTCATTTTAAGGAATATCTGTATATGTAAAATAAGATACAGGCATATTTATGAAAATTATAGAATAACTATAAAATAAGTTTTATTCCTTACACATCTTAATAAAATTGTTGAATGTGCTATTAATAAAGTTGTTTCACAAATACTTTGAAATTGAGGATTTAGGAAAAAGGAACGTTATAGGTCGTACGTAGTTATATATTTCCCTCAGAATTGTACAAAAACGTATAATTGTTATTTTATATTCTAGTATTAAGCATTTATTTAATTATAGTTATATTGGATGACTTTATTGTAGTTTTAAAAAAATATTTTTGCATATCATTACCAATCGAAGATTTGTGATAGGTATTGATTAATTGCAAAATAATTTCAGATGTTAAAATGAAATAAAAAATTTCAATAAAGAGAAAAGAATAAAACTAGTGAGAAGAAGATGACTTGTCTTTTCGTTAGCATTATGCAATTCTCCGCAACTTTAAGTAGGTAGAAGGAAATAGCTCAAGGGGATAAAGTAAACGTTGTCTCTGCATAAAGAATGTAAAATTATAATCATGCACTCAATAACTGCTTTAGTTCCTGTTTCAAGGAAACATCTGTATTAGTACAAAATATTTATTGTCAGTCTTCTGATTTCATGGGCAACAGTCATACAATGGGCAATATATATTTCTGCAATGAGTATCAGGAATCCTTGTATATTAAAAAATACGACAACAATATCGCTCTTTGTCATTTCCCCCCTAAATTAGAAATAAATGCACAATCAAATACAATGTTTACATCTCCCAACTGATTCGATACTCAAGAGCATGCTCCGAGTACGATCAATTTTTAAACGGAGACAGACTACTGATACATAAGTTGATGTTACAGGGATTTCAACAACCTCGTTTAAAATTAGCATTTCGTAATTTCTATGGTCGATACAATGACCTTGTTAGGAAACGTAACCTATCATTGGGTCGTATTTTGACTGACTTGTTTGACATACTCGCCTATTAGAATTGTCAGGCCTTTGTTTTTATATTGAATTTGACTACGGAATTTTTCGTCTACCCGATCAATACATAGGGCTCACGGCGGGTGTGACCGGTCAACAGGGGATGCTTACTCTTCCTAGGCACCTGATCCCACCTCTGGAATCTCCAGGGGTCCGTGTTTTAAGCCCTCTTCACAAATTTGTATTGTTTATAGATTTTTTGAAATCGATCACTGTTCGTGTTTTCGTTAAATGGAACTGATGATACGTAAATTTAAAATAAACATGTTTTGTCGCCACGGAGAACTCTTGATAACATTGTAGGTTAAAAATATAACGTCATGATAGTTTCTCAAAAAAATAAATCCCCTCGATACATTTCACTCATGGTCTCTGGCACATTATCACTCATTAAAAATGTTTCTATACCATTGACACTTAGTTTGCTTACAATTTTTCAAGTATAGCATAACTTAGTTTGTCAGTGTTTTCAATTTTTATTCTATCATGTAACTGCTTCACAAGTTTTGTAAAAGTTAAGCGCCCATAACTTTTCATGACGTTACAAACTCTTTAGCCCAGTCTTTTGCTCATAATTCGTTTCCTCTCAGGCCGTCGTCGTCATTTACAGAGTCTCTTTCACTCAAAAATTGCTTTTTCCCCATTTTTACACAAATGTCAGGCTAATTTTCGATATTCGTATTTCTTGCTTTCTCTAGCATTTTCAGAGTTTACCGAGTGCACCACAATATTACATTGTCACTCGCTACTTCGTGGTGTCCTACAACGTCATCTTTCATAGTTTTTTTTTTCAATGATAACAATTTTATCTGATGCAAGTTATTTCTGTTCAACAAAACAATATGTTGTATCAAAATTTGGCATGTGAAATAACTTTACTTAATTTCAACTTTAAGTACATGTCCCTGTAAGAATCAGGCAAAAGGTGAATCACGAGGGTTCTCAGAATTCAATGATTTTCCACACATAGATTTCTCTTGTGCTATGAATCATGTATGCAGAGTGAAAAAAGTTTTGGGTCATGGTTACTATGGAAACATGACAAAAAGAAATTTCCCTAGCAACCAGTCAATTTTCCATGTGAAAGGACAAAAAAATCACTAATCTTTAGGGCTTGAAATTGATTGTGAATATTTAAGAATTTCTTCTTATTCATTCTTATCGTAAAGATAAACATTTGAAGTGTTTTCACAATGCATTACATTGAAAAAAAATTATGAGATATATCTGTACTAGACATGGGTAAATAGGCATGTTTTGTGTTTTTTGCTGATTCAGCATTTTTGTTGATTTTGTTACTTTTCAAGGCCTTATAACTCAAACTTTTGGCGTAATACCGGAGTTACAAATATTTCGCATAAAAGCAGAGGAATGTCTCTTTTGGACTTTTAATTCAAAAAGGTGTGTTTTTTGAAAATTCCTATCCGTTGCCTAGCAACAAAAATGGATGTTTTGATAAATAAACTGGAAAATCGCACAATGTTAAAATTATTAATCTAATAAATTGTTATCTGAGAGTACAAAAACACAGTTTGAAATCAGAAAATATATATAAAACATCTTTGCAAACCAAGAAATATTGTAAAAATACTTATCTCCATGGCAACAGCAAATTCTCCATAGCAACAAAGCAAATAAAGTCACTTTTGGCACATATTTATGAACATATAATATTATAAAATATTAATCCACAGTTTGGTAGCATATTGCGATTAATCAAATTTGATTTTGTAGTAGATGTCTTAGCAATGTACACTTTTATAATTTTAACCCATTTTTATACTTTTAACCCATGGCAACAACATTTGAGCACATAAGAACCAAAATATGTTATGGAGAGTTAAGAGCAATTTTCTGT